GACCACAGCACTGGTTTGGACCATGACTCTGCACAAGGACCAGAAAAGTATATGGGGCGTGGGAGAGGGAGAAGCAGGCTTCCCGCCGAGCAGGGGCCCGATGCGGTGCTCGATCCCAGGACCCTGGGATCATGACCTGAGCCGAAGGCAGACGCTCAACGACTGAGCCACCCAGGTGCCCCGAGCTGTGACATTTTAGAGGGGTAACTGTTCTCTTTCCATCACCAGCCTGCCCTACACACTAAACTATCTGCGTTGATGAGTCAAAGCCTGGCTGCTTGTGGGAGGTGTTGAGGAAAGGCAGCTGTGTAAAACAATTCTTCAGAGATCATGATGGTCACAATTCAGGTATTCAGAACTTGCAATGACATCATAAGTCTAAAGCCTATCTGCACTGATCCGTCCACTTCCCCATGAGAACACAAACTTGTTCAGGGTTAACATTTGAGAAAAACCAAATGCTCGTGCCTAGCCCCCCAGGCCCAGCTCTCCCTCGCACTGTGCTCCAAGGGCAGCAGCACCACCAGCACAGCACCCATCACAGATGCCACCCCACTGGCCAGGGGCCCTCCTGGAGAGCGGGAACTGTGTCCCACTCAACTTTCCATCTCCAACACCTGGATTGAGTCTTCCCATTTAATAAAACTTAAGTATTCACTAGAGTGAATTCTTAAAACATCTTAAGTCTTGATTGATGGCCTTAATATATTAATTACTAATACATTTGTTTATAGAATAAGGCAGGTACAAAGTAATCTATGAGTTGTAACATACTTAAATTTTCCTTTCAACAGCTTCACATAGAAGAGAAAACTTGAGAACAGTAATACCCATAGGACAAAATTTGTACTATTACCAAAAATAGCTTAAGTCTCATTTAGGTACATTTAACTTTGTTCCAGTGTTAAAACTTTGACAAAGATGATTTTTTTTTTTTAAGATTTTATTTATTTATTTGACAGAGAGAGACACAGCAAGAGAGGGAACACAAGCAGGGGGAGTGGGAGAGGGAGAAGCAGGCTTCCCCCTGAACAGGGAGCCCGATGCGGGGCTCGATCCCAGGACCCTGGGATCATGACCTGAGCCGAAGGCAGACGCTTAACGACTGAGCCACCCAGGCGCCCCGACAAAGATGGTTTTAAATAAAGCTGCTTTATAACCTGGCGCCATTAAAAAAAAAAAAAAAAAATTTTAAGTCTTTACACTTTAAAAAAAGGTTAAACAACAACAAAGAGTTTAAGCATGAGTATGAAATGAGAGAACTGGGCCTTCCTAGGACTATTATTTAAGAACTCCCATTCCCCCACCCCTCCGGCCAGTAGGCTGAAATAGGACATCTATCAGACCTGTCAAGAGAACAAAACACTGGTATTGTTTAATTGATCAGACAACACTTTGGCTCAGGACATGTTCTATAAAAGGTCCATGCTATATACAATGGGGCACTCTCCTAAAGAAATAATCCTACCCTCAAAGAGTTTAAAAATCAGATAACTAAGGTCCAGGTTGAAAATGGTGATGGCAGCTGGGTCCTAGGTTTCTGGGCTGCTAGGTCGGTCTGGGGCACAGCTGGGGCAGTCCATGTTGAGTGGCACCCACGGCAAAGAGAAGGGCTCAGCTCAGATGTGGAAGGCCCTCTCCTAATTCATGGCACATCCTGGTGTGGGAGTGAGTATGATGAATGTCATCCTGAAGTCACATCACAGAGAGCACGGAGAACCCTGAGTTTGTCGCCTACCCCCATCTCTGCAACAGGTCCAAGCCCTTTCCCTGGGGAGATGGTAGTCACACTGTATTCCATAAGTCTCACATGAATCCACTTCCAACCACCTATGAAAATGAATAAAGAGAACCTGGACCACTACCCAGTGGGGACCACAGCACTGGTTTGGACCATGACTCTGCACGAGGACCAGAAAAGTATATGGGACCTCAAGCTCACCTTCTTTACTTGTGTCAAATGATGACCAGTATACTGATCTTCCATCCTTGTGTTTATGGCAGGAGATGGCTTAAATAAATAACTTAGATTGGTCGATGAAAAAAAAAATTAAAATAATAAAAATTTAAAAAAACAAAAATCAGATAGCTAAAATAAATATGCGGTTTTTTCTTTTAGAAATATAACATTTTGCAGAAGAAAGAAAAGCCCTATGACATGTTTGAAAAAATTAGAATAAACTTAAAACCAACATTCTGGCTCCTAAGCAGTTAGCAAGGAGAAATGTTGGTTGAGAATATCCCTATATGAGAGACACCAAATCTACCCCTACCTCTTTTTTTTTTTTTTTAGACTTTATTTATTTGAGAGACAGAGAGCACGAGCAGCATGGGGGAGGGGGGTGCAGACAAGCAGACTCCCCGCTGAGCAAGGAGCCCGATGTGGGGCTCGATCCCAGGACTCTGGGATCATGACCTGAGCAGAAGACAGACACTTAACTGACTGAGCCACCCAGGCAACTGTACCCCTTCCTCTAAGGAAGCTATCCAATTCCCTCAATAAGGAGCTGACTTGCTTACATAGACCAACGCAGCACACGTCACAGAGTGCCAGAGAATGCCACTCAGAAGGAAAGACCCAGAACATTAACATAAGAGTAACCATGGAAACTGTGAGGTGAGGTTATATTTATTTTCTGTTTTGCACTCTTCTGCATTTTCTGTGTGAGAAATAAGATTCATTTGAAATAAAATTCATTTGAAAATTAGAGTAAAAAAATAAAGCTATAAAGAAATAAAGTACCATTCCTTGAGAAGAATTTGGTTCCTTTCCAGACCAAGCTTGAGAGGACAGCAGATCTAAGGGGAAAGACTTCTCGAGTGGCTCAAGTCTAACCCTGGGTCTCTCATCTATTAACTCCCATGCAGGGGAAAGAGACACACTCTACAAGAGAGGGCCCACATGCTAAAGAACTGTGCTTCCAAAGGTGCAGCTTCTCTTCACTCAGTCGCTTCCATGCCTTCAATCTGTACTGACTGGTACAGAAAGAGGGGGTACCAGGAATGTGGGTGGCTCCCTGAGCACAGCCCTAAAGTTTCTTTCTGTGTAACCCAGGGATCTGGGGTCCTGACTAACCAGAAGCTACAATGTTAGATCAGTTATTATTCCTTTCACCGGCTTTCTGGGGATTCATAAGTCAACGTACGAAAAGGTTAGGAAAACCTGGTATCCTTATCAAAGGAGAGTGTGCCCTTGGTCCAGCTCTAGGTGCAGTTGCCAGGCTGTCAAGTTTGCTTGAGGACCCAGCTGTGGGCACTCATCAATGGTATGAACATCATTCCTCGGCATGCAGGGTACAAACCACCCTCAGATCTCAAAGAGAAATCTTTTGTTTTCTTTGTCTTCATACCATTCTTGGACCAAAATGACAGGGGGAACCAAATTTGGGTGGAGGGCTCATTAGGCAAATCAGTGGTGACTCTGGTGCAAAATACCAGCACCAGACTCTGGGACAGAGATCGTTCCACTCCATTCCCCTTCCCTAGGTGCTACCCAGTGTACATGTGTGTACCCAGTGAGGTCTGAGAGTGAGGTCAATGGAAGCTAAAATACCATCCTACTAAGCCTTTCTTTGTGAGATCAAGAAGTGTGCTGGATAAGCCTTATTTCCCTTTTATTTCATGTGGTATTTGAAGCCAATTCTTAGCCTGACATGATTTAAAACAAAGTTGCCTAGACTAGTCCTGATGCCCACAGCCAGCCACAGCCACTGCCCATTTGCACGCCTGGGCCTTTGGGGCCACGCTTTTCAGATGGAAAGGACACAACTGTCATGGCTGCAGCAGTAACTAAAGGGGAGATTTCGTCTCCCAAGACTGATTAAGAATTCAGCAAACACTGAGCAGACAATTTTGTAATGAAGATATAAATTAACAGGAGTAATAAGGTCAGTCTATTAAAATGATTCATTTCATTAAGAACTTGCCAAAGCTGGGTGGCATTCCCATTTACCTCCCCAGGAGCTCCCCTTCTAAAACCTAAATAATAAACATTATTTAGAGTTTTCATTTAAGATTTCTCTCCACCTGATAGAAATCATTACTCTTAAGTCATTTTTAAAGATGAAAAGTTCAAAATTTTTCACATAGCAACAGAACAGCAGGGCAAAATTTTTTACATGGCAACAGAACAGTAGGGCAAACATGCCAAGATTAAAAATGACAGTGATAGCACATACAGAGAGGCAGCTCCAACCACTAATGGCCAAGGTGAGCAGCACACAGATAGAGAGGAATAAATTATGGATTTTAATAAATAGCACACATCCTGCTTAACAATTGCTGTGGAATATACTCATTCCTGTTTAAAGACTCCATTTCTCCTTCATGCCAGACAAATGGTAATTCGTTAGAGCAATTTAAACAGATACCGATAAAGGAAGTTTTTGATTAAGGTCATGAATCTGGGCTGACAGGAAAGCGATGGTGTTTCAGGGAGAATAGCCTATTTAGGCAAGAATTACACCTGGTGGAGGGGAAGGCGAAAGGGCCTGGCAACTTCCAAAGCAACATGCTGCGGGAGGGCCAGGAGCCCACACTGGATACACAGCTCAGGACAAAAGGAAACGGTCTTGGAGCCTAGACTAGTTTCCCTGAGAGAAACAACCAGAAAGAACAAAATGACCTCTATCCGCCCCTTTTTACTTCAAAAGGTTGTTATTTAGTAGCAAATTTCCAAGAGCTGATTTAGGCTTAAAAACGCCTTCAAACTACTCTTCACATACTCAAAAGAACACATGATGCCACAGCGGCCATTACAACAACATCTCTTTTTTTCTTTACTCTGGTCACATGTCAATCTCTGACCTGGCAATGCACTTAACTTGTCAATAAAGTAAAATAAACAAACTGATTAAACTAAACAGACCTATTAATGAGTCATCACACTGATCTAGTAGAGAAAGCACAAATAAAGCCCAGAAAGACAGAAATAGTAACTACTATTTTTTTGTTTTTCTATGTGTACCCTAAAGAGCATTTTTCAATCATCTGTTCAACAGTATGTCCAGGTAGAAGTGGCTGAAGCAAAAGGAAACACATTTGCTTTAATGCAATGACTGGACTAGGAAAGCTGCATATAAATCTCAGCAGAAACACAGCTTCTGGTGAGACAGTAAACTACCAGGGCACACTATCCAGGGGACGCCTAAGAAAAGCCAATTCAGGGGGCACCTGGGTGGCTCAGTCGGTTAAGCGTCTGCCTTCAGCTCAGGCCAGGATCCCAGGGTCCTGGGACCCAGCCCTGAGTCGGGCTCCCTGCTCAGCGGGGAGTCTGCTTCTCTCTCTCCCTCCGCCCCTCTACCCCTCCCCGCCAGCTCGCCAGCTCGTGTGCTCCTCTCCCAAATAAATAAAATCTTTAAAAAAAAAAAAGAAAAGCCAATTCAGAACAGAGATGATATAAATGCTAAGTACTTAATGAAATGATCTTCTATAGAATGGAGGAGGGATAGGCAAAATGAAAGAGGTGAAGCATTTTAAGCTTCTTGGAAAAGATACTACTATTGCCTTTTTTTTTTTTTGTAAAGATTTTTTATTTATTTGACAGAGAGAGAGACAACGAACGAGAGGGAATACAAGCGGGGGAGTGGGAGAGGGAGAGCCAAGTTTCCCGCTGAACAGGGAGCCTGATGCGGGGCTCGATCCCAGGACCCTGGGATCATGACCTGAGCTGAAGGCAGACGCTTAACGACTGAGCCACCCAGGCGCCCCCTACTATTGCCTTCTATCAATTCAATTCAGTAAATATTTATTGAGCATTTATTCCATGCCAGGTATGGGATGAAGGGGAGTGGCACAGAGAGCAATCTTGCTGATGAAGACACCAGACTCCAGCCCTCAGTTTTTATGACAACAAAAAAGCTAAAATAAGCTCAAACAGGGAAATCTAGCAGTGTTTATTTGCCACTGCCTCCTGCCTCATTTTCAGAAAAAGGGGCGCCTGGGTGGCTCAGTGGGTTTAGTGTCCAACTCTTGATTTCAGCTCAGGTCATGATCTCAGGGTCATGAGATCGAGCCCCATGTCGGGCTCTGCGTGGAGCCTGCTTAAGAGTCTCTCTCTCCCTCTGCCCCTCCCTCCCTCTCTTTCTTTCATTCCCTCTAAAAAAAGAAAAGTACCAAATGGCATATATTGCCAAATGCATGCAAGGTACTGGCCATTTAGATTTCCATTCTGTACACACAACAGCATAGTCAATCCTAACTGACTCACATGGTGCTACTTCCAGAAAAGGTTAAAGCTATTAGGTACAATTAAGGGAAATGTGGGGGAGGGGGGGTGGACAATCTCAATTCAGTCAATTTTAAAAGCTTGAAATTTAAATCAGACTGGTTCCCTTAAAAGATCCTTAACCATATGCCTCCCTCTACCTGTCAGTTACCCTCTCTTTACCCCAAGAAGATGCCCCCTGAGATCCACTTAGAACTAGATACCTCCAGCACCTGAGTACATTTATTCTCCCAGACATGCTCTCCCTTTTTCCCTTATAGGCCATCTCTCCCAATAAACCAGAGCTCTACCTAAGGAGACTCTACCTTTACCAAGCTGCTCAAATCCCAGGTGAAAAGCAAAACTCCCTTTCTTTAACAGTCCCTAGAACCAGCCACTATGTTTTTGCCTTCCTACTTAGGACATACACAGTGTCCATAGGTGCCTTTAGACTCAATTACATATTTCAATTACATACAGCCTTTCTCAGCTATCCTGGAATCCACTGTGACAACTTTAACGGCACTCATATCTCCACACACAAGGTTGTAAGAGTCTCATTCAACCGGGACCACAGCCGCACCAAATGCTTCAGCTGTACTGCCTGTCAAGCTTCTCCTTTCTGAACCAGCTTCTCAGTACAACTGATGAGTAACTGCCCTTCAGTTAGCCTACCACTTGTAAACTGTATTTCCTACCACTCTCAAAGGATGCTTCACACCCTTTCAGTCACCCATCTGTTGCCAAATTTCATTCTAATTGACCAGTGATCCAGCAAAGGCTCCAAAATGCATGCTGGTGTACCGGGTTGAATAGTGTCCCTCCAAAAAGCTATGTCCACTCAGCACCAGGGAACATGATGTTTGGAAATATGGTCTTTTTGCAGATGTAATCAAATTAAAATCATGTAATACTAGATTAGGGTGGGCCCTGATTCAATGACTGATGCCCTTTTAAGAAAAGGAAAATTTGCAACAGACGACACACAGAGGAAAGACAGAGGCAAAGACTGGAGTTATGCTGTTATAAACCAAGAACACCAAGGATTGCCAGCAACCACCAGAAGCTAGAAGAGGCAAGGAAGGATTCTTCCCAAGAGCCTTCAGAGGGAGCATGGCCCTGCTGACACCTGGACTTCAGACATGTAGCCTCCAGAGCTATGGAGAATAAATTTCTGTTGTTTTAAGCCACCCAGTTTGTGGTACTTTGCTCCAGCAGCCCTAGGAAATAAATACAGCTGGCACGTCAAGGTAAATGCAAATGAAGCTGCTTCTAATTGTTTGGTATTTGAAGCAAGCTCCTAGGCACTCTACAATTTCTTTCACAGAAAGGCACCTATGGACACTGTGTATGTCCATAACCCTAAAAAACAGGCAAAGCAAAATGTTAGTTTCAACCAGATCAGTGAAATCTTTTGAGCTTAATGTCAACAGTGAACACAGGGATGCTCCAATTCATTTGGGTGTTTCTGATCACAACAGTTGAGGGAATTGAGAAAACAGAATGCAAAAACCTGAGGGGAATTAGGCCAGAACACTGCAGCAAAGAGCCCATCCCCTGTGAAAGAGCCCCAGGATCATTAACACCAATTAAGAGCACAGGGCACTCAGGGCTCCCCACTACTTCCAACTGGTTTAAGGCAGCAAAAGAGTGCCACCTACTGAAAGACCAGCCACAGAACTAAGGCACTACTGTAAAAATTCCAATTCTTTATTTAAAACAAGTTGTCCATTCCTAGTAGAATGGGCAGAAAGGAAGAGAGCCTATAGTCAACATCTCTCTGTAGAAGTTGCCTAATTTCCCTGAAGGGGCAGCAGACTGTGTTCTGCCCAATTCAGGCACCAGGGATTCAAATAACCAGATGGCCAGCGGCCTCACATCACATGGGCAAGCGTACCTTTTGCTGCGTGATTGACGGAAGAGGGAGGTTCGTCATCAGACGTAGAACTGAGGTTCAGGGCAAGCTCTGCAACTCTTTTCTTCTGTTTCTTGATAGGGGCAGTGCATTCTGGATCATTTCTCCTCCTCATTGTTACTGCAACCATAAATCCAGATAGTCAGCTGCCCTTGTCAGAGCAGGGATTCCAATATATAAATCATCAGTGGGATGGGATTTGGCAATTCCAAACAGCTTCCAGTGCCGGCACTTGAATAGCCTCTTCCTCAAATTGAGGTCCAGGAAGGATGCTAGCCAAGCTCTAGTCTTCAATAATAGCTGTTAGTTTTACTGGAAAATGTGTGGTGCTCACAGACCCAGAGGCCTAAGAGCCTTGATGTCAGATACCAAAAGTCATGGATCAACTCTACAAGCCACAGCAGGGGGAAAAAGCCTTGGGTACTTATTATTCTATACTTATCATGCAACACTGGCCATGTGTGACAACAACGTACACTGGACATTAATTATGAAACCTAATGAGTATCAACCAATATTTCCAAGGTGAAGGGACAATCCCAGAATGATAGCTCCATCACCATTATTATTTTACCAATTAAGAGATTACATAATATGATACAAATACTGGTTTTGGTTTATTTCAGGATGTTTAAAAACATGAAAGAATTGGGAAAGTTTCTGATGAGAGTAAGGAATGGAAGTGGTTGACTTAGGACTGAGAAAACAGAAGGGTGGGAAAATTATTCAAACCGGAGGTAGCCACATCATAGGACTCTGGTGTAAAAATAATTTTAACACCAACACACCTCCATGAAAAAAGAATGGAGATGATCAGGCACCATGTCACCATCATCCACGCCCATCGGTAGGTACATGAGAGGTAAACATGGCGGGGGGAAAAATGAGATGGAATGAAGTGATTATGACATCCTGAAACCTTAAGAAATGATCAAGTTAAAGAGTAGTAGCGAATACAGTGTGGTTTACACACAACTGATGGGCTATAAGGAGACTCAGAAAAGAGAAAGAGCTCAAAACATAGGAGCAAACAGGTGGGTGACCAGCTGGGCTGCAATTCCTTGAGGAAGGGGAGGTGCAGAGGCACAAAACAGACTTTTAACATGGATCACAGGAGCAAGAGAGCAATGAAATGCAAAGATACCACTGATTCCCTCAACCTCACAAAACCCTGAATCACATGTTTCACTTCTCTAGCTCAAGGATGAGCAGTCAATCCAATGCATAATCTTATACTAAGGAGGCAGCCTCTTACTAGCCACAGGCAGGGGTTATTTATCTTGGGGAAGAACGGGGGACCTTGAACAAAGAGAAAGCAAAACGACGTTTCACTTTAAACTACCGTCTTAAATGCCCCCCAAAAGGCCCATAACAAAAGCAAAAAGGGCCATCTGATTCTTAGCGACTCTGGGAGACTGCAAGCACGGGAAACTCAATGTGGACTGCGTTGGGGTGGGTGCAAAAAAAGGAGAGTAAATTGTTGTGTGAAAGGCAGGAGATACTGATGCTCCTCCCCAAACCACCTTAGATGCGGGCCTTGCAAATCACCTACTCCAACCCTCCCGTTTTCCACTGGAAAGAACTGAGGCCCGAGAGGGAAGGCCGCACACCTTAACCAGTGCCCCGCTCAAGTGACCGACACGGGCCAGGAGAATGTGCCCAGGCAGGGAACTTCTACGTGGAAGGCAAAAGGCCTGGTTCTACCTGCTGCTCTCCCAGAAATGGGGTTCAAATCCCCTCTCCAGCCTTCTCTCCCAGGGTGTCGGTTTCGCACTGCCACCCTTATTCACTGAGAGAGGAGATGAGCTCCTATCTCTCCCGGCCAGTCTTTTCATTTGGAAACAACGTGAGTGTGTGAATGTGTGCGCAGAGACGTTTGTCGGCGGCAACTCGGGCTGCCGGGAGCTGGAGGGGCAGGTGGGGGGCAGGGGAGGATTGAAGGAAGTGGGGGAGAGAGAAGGGGCGGCGAGGGTCACCACCGCCGATGCGCGGCCAAGGCGGCGGTGGAGGGGAGAGGGATGCTGAGCCCGCGCGCCCGCCCGCCCGCTCGCTCCCCCCAGGCCGCGCGTCGGCACTCACGCTGAGGGGAGAGGGTGAGCTGCCTGGGAGCGGAGAGGGGGGGCTCAGGCCGCCGTTGCCGCCGCCGCCGCCGCCACCAGGCCTAGCCCTGCCGCTGCCAGAGCCGCCGCCTCCTCCCTCAGTTTCGTTTCCCCACCAGCCAGCCTGGTCCGCCGGCCGCGCTGTCGCGCTCGGGTCCCGCCCTGCGGGCTGCGCAGCCTGATGACGTCACGGGCAGCCCGCGCCCTCCGCGCGGCCGGGTCCTGGCCCCGGTGGAGAAGACACAGGTTCGGGCCCGCCCCACCCCCACCAGGGCCGTCCAGGGCGCCTGCGCGGAAGAGCCTAGGGGAAAGGATACAAAGCAAAAGTAACAGAGTTCTCTTCTCGCTCTAGGGACGAGAAACAAATATAAAAATTAAAAGAGCAGGTGTCGTCACATCACCTCATTTCACTTGTTCTCATTATTATTTTCATTTTTAAAGATTAAGAGCAAGTTGAGAGAGGTAAACGGTACGGTGAACTGGCTCAGCGCAGAAACCTAGTGTTCTTGTTCACTGCTGTATCCCCAACATCCTGCGTATAATACATCTTCAACAGATGTTGAACGAAGGTCGGGAGGAGAGAAGGAATGCTGCCTATGGCATCTTACCATATGGAAACAGATGGTTTCCCATCCCAAACCCCTCTTCCAATTTTCTGGCCAATATGGCCAAAAGTCTGCTGAACATCCTCAGTCAGTCACTTCACACCCATAAATTCAAATCTGACTTTATGTTTTCCTGTAAGCCTACTCTTTTTCCAGTGAATGGCACCACCATTCATCCTGTTGGTCCAACTGGAAATCTGAGTTGGCCCCATCTCCCTCATTTCCCAGAGCCTCCAATATGAGGCTTCACCGAGTTTACCACCTAATTGTCTCCCAAATCTATACATTCTTCTCCACCCCATTGACACAACCCATGCACTCACCTTCTCTGGACAGGATTTCTCCAATAATCTCCAAATCATTGTTCCCGTCTCCAGTGGTGATGCCTGTAGTGTAGAATTTAAAAATTTATTCTGATTCTGTCACAATCTATCAATGATTAAAACTCATCAATGACTTCCCATTTCTCTTAGGGTGAAGTTAATGTCTTTAAGATGGCTACAAAATGTCAGTCTGACCCAGTCTGCAGTCCTGCCTTATGTTACTGGTCCTTTCTCCCCATCCCCATGTCTCTTAAGGGTTCATCCCCCTACCTGGATAGCTCTTCTCCCCCTTTGCTTGGCTAATGTCCACTTATCCCTGAGATGTGTTTAGCATCCTTATCTGGCAATCTTTCCTGACTCTACAAGTCTGGGTTGGGAATCCCACCCCCGAGTTCCCATAGCTTTGTCCTTCTGCTATCAAAGCACTTATCTCGGTGTGTTGTGTAATGACCCCTTGACTCACTTGCCTCCCCCACTCAGTTGTAAACTTTGTATAGGAAAGGTTATCTCCGTCTGTCTGTATTAAATCCATAAGATCCACAAGATTTAATACAGTGGCTGGTAGTAGGTGCTCAGTAGATATTTATTGAATCTGCGGAAGTATGGAAGATGAATTAAGGTTAAGTGATGTGCCCAAGGTCACAGAGCTAGGAAGCAGCAAATGAGCATTTAAACCTAGGTCTCTTTGATTCTAAAGCTAAATATTTTTCTACCTCACCAGGGGTTCTTAACATATGTGTGTTTTGGACACCTTTGGTAATCTTAAAGCTTATGGACCCATTCTCAAAATAATAAATTGAAGGGCATAAAATACAATATATAGAATTACTAAGGAAATCAATTATATTGAAATATAATTATTTAACAAATTTTGTGATTTCTTTTTGTAATTTTAGAGTAAAGCATTAAACAATGCATTTAAAAATAGGAAAATTAAAGATAAAATTAGTTTTTAATATATATGAGTAAAATCAATGAATAGTGCTTGAACACTTAGATAAATATATAGAGAAAAGATGAATGTTGATTTCTACCTTATACCATATGCAAAATTAAATCAAATGGATCAGACCTAAATATAAGAGCAAAAATGATAAAGTTTGTAATAGAAAACATTAGGCAACTATAGTGAACAATAATGTATTGTATATTTGAAAGTCACTAACAGAGTAAATCTTAAAAGTTCTCATCACAAGAAAAAATTAGAACTGTGTGAGGTGATGATATTAATGTATTTGTGGTAATCATTTCACAATATATACATATATCAAGTCATTATGTTATATACCTTAAACTGATACTATATGTCAATTATATCTCTACAGGGGAAAAAGGAAGTTAAAAAAAAGAAAACATAGGAGAATATCCTTGCAGACTTGGAGTAGACAAAGAGTTTTTCACAAAAGACCCAAAGAGCATTAATCAGAAGAAAAAAATTGTTAAAATAGACTTCATCAAAATAAAAGGCTTTGCTCATCATCAGAAGACACCATTAAGAAATTGAATAGGCAAACCACAGACTGAGAGAAAAACATTCACAATACGTATATCTGACAAATGACTTATACCCCAAAAATATATAACACTCAATATAAAAAGAAAAACAGGGGCACCTGGGTGGCTCAGTCAGTTAAGTGTCTACCTTCGGCTCAGGTCATGATCCTGGGGTCCTGTGACCAAACCCCACTACAGGCTCCTTACTCAGTGGGGAGCCTACTTCTCCCTCTCCCTCTGCCCCTCCCCTCCACATGTGCACATGAGCATGAGCGCACACTCCTTCTCTCTCTCTCTCTCTCAATTAATTAAATAAAATCTTTAAAAAATATATTTGGTGCAGAAAAAATATTTGAAGAAATAATGGCTGAAAACTTCCAAATGATTGGGAAAAAAACCATAAATTTAGAGATTCCAGAAGCTCACTCTCCAAACAAGAAAAACTCAAAAAAATCTATTCCCAAATGCATCATAATCAAACTGCTGAAAACTAAAGGCTAAGAAAATATCTTGAAAACAGTCAGAGAAAAACAGTCTCACATATAGAAAAACAACAATTAGAGCAACTGTGAATTTCACATCAGAAATGTCAGGAATGGAGTAAGAATGATAAAATGGCAAATATTTAGGTAAATACCATAAACGCTTTTCTTCTTTTAAGTTCTTTAAAATTCACATGAGAGTTGAAAGCAAAAAATATGACATTGTCTGATGGAGTTTCCAATGGATGTAGATGTACTCTATGTATGGCAATTATAACATAAATGGGGGAGGGCAAAATAACCTATAAGGTGGCAAGGTTGCTATATTCCACCAAAGGTTGTAATATATTAATTCTAAGTAGACTGTGAAAAGTTAAGTACACATATTGTAATCCCTAGAGCAACCCCTTAAAAAAGATTTAGGAATTCCAACTTCTGGAATGGCATCATAAGGACCTCTAAAAATAGTCTTCCTAAAAGCAAAGAAAACACAGGCAAATTTGTCAAAATCAATTTGTTTTAGAACTTTGGAAATTAACCAAAGACTTACAACAGTCAAAGGAGGGTTTCCTCAGGAAAAACGATTTCAGTAAGAACAATGAACTTTGTGGCATTTTAACTTGCCCCAATCCTATCCCCTTATCACCAGCTCATCTACCACTGTCAAGTGGTAGACTTGAAAACCAACCACATCGCAACTATGATAGCTATGAAAACCAGCAATCTAGCAGCAACTGACAGGACCAAACAGGTTTGGAGCTCCTCCAAAGCCCCACCTCCCAGAGAATTATCTCTATTTTAACTATCTGGTGGCTTGCTGAAAAATTCCATTCTCAGAGCATGTCTTTATTTTATCTGACTCAGAGGTTACTTTGTGCGAACAGTTCTATTTGCAAAGCACTATCAAAAATAATCAGTGACAAGCATTACCTGAGGCAGCATTACCAGTTGGAGCTAACAAAAACTGAAAATAAAATATCTGAGAATGAGTTGCCCAAAGGGGTCTCTAAAAAGCCCTAGAATAGTCCTAGGTATCTAGAAGGCTACAGGAATATGCAGGGCTGTTCATGTGCCTAGGAAAGACCTGAGAAGGCCCTAATCTCTCACCTCTGACCTACTGTGAGGTTCTGCACAAGCAGGGAGTGAAGATAAAGGCAGAGTTAGTTGTAAACTGCCTGTCAGAACATTGAAGCCATACCCCAACATGCACACACCAACCTTGACAAAGGCTAGGAGATTTATTTGTTCAAGGCATTTAAAGAAATCTGTCCAGTCATTAGCTGATCATTAAACTAACCAGGCAGAGACTTCAGTGGTCATCCATGACAATGAATGCAAACTTTACAGAATTAATTCAGGAAAATCACTAAAAAATAGCAACAAAACCAAACTAGTTGGGGGGGGTGTGGCATCACATTATTTTAAACCTTCAGTTTTCAACACACAAAGAAATGGTAAAGTATGACTCATTCAAGGGGGGGAGGAAGAAGTAGCCAGTAGAAACTCTACCAGTGAATGCCCAAAAGTTGAACCTAGTAGACAATGACTTTAAATTATCTATTATAATATGTTCAAAGAATTAAAGGAAACGATGTCCAAAGAATTAAAAGAAAGTATGAAGGAAGTGTCTCACCAAATAGAGAACATCAATAAAGAGATAGAAATTATGTTTTAAAAAGAACAAAGTAGAAATTCCAGCATTGAAAAGTACAATAACTGACATGAAAATTTCACTGTTGGTGCTTATTATGGACCGAATTGTGTCCTCCATAAAATTCATATGTTGAAGCCTAACTCCCAATGTGACTGCATCTGGAGATAGGGCTTTTAGGAGGCAACTAAGGTTAAATGGGGTCATAAGGGCTCCTCAATAAGATTAACAGCTGACTTCGCATCAGAAATCATGGAGGCCAAAGGGCAATAGGATGACATATTCACAATGCTTAAAGAAAAAGACAGTCAATCAAGAATTCTATATCCAGCAAAACTTAAAAAAAATAGCAACAAAAACAAACTGGGGGGGTGGGGGTCATAAAGAAGAAACTGAGACATTCCCAGATAAACAAAAGCAGAATTTGTTATTATCAGACTTGCCTTACAAGAAATACTGAAATGAATCCTTCAACCTGAAGGAAAGGACACTAGACAGTAAATTGAATCCACGCAAAGAAATGTATAGCACCAGTAAAGGTTGCCTCAAATCCATTTTGGGAATAGGCAAATGAAAAACAGTAAATAAATTACATTCAGAG